GAGAGAGAGAGAGAGAGAGAGAGAGAGAGAGAGAGAGAGATCTTTCCAAACACACAGTGAGCGCTGTAAAGCACCTGTGTATGTGTGAAAGATCTGAACTCTTCAGGGATGGCTGAGAGACATGCTCTAAAGAAACCGACGTTGGAGGAACAGATATGGCAGTCATGTCTTAGGACGAGCAGTTGGAGGTTTGGAGGCAGAAGAAAACTGAGGACATTTGTGATTCCGAGGAGGGGGAGGGAGGAGGAAGGGATGGTGGAAAACGCTAGATCTGAGAGCGGATGACAGGAGAAATTCCGAGCAGAGTTTACATCTCTGGGATAAGTCAGAACTTCTGGCTTCTCTGGGGATATATTTCATGAGCTAGGGGTGTCGTTAACTACTCTGCGAGGCAGAAGCACAGCCGCTTAGAAATTATGTCACTTACCTGGAAGGTTACAGAGCTGGTCAGCAGCAGCGCAGAACCAAAACAGACCAGCATGTGTGTGTTCTGTGCCACAACAGGAGAGATTACATTATCTTCAACAACACTAATGTGATGTGAGCTGTCTGAGAGGCGGCAGCTGATTGCAAACAAGTAAATACCACCTGTCCCTGAGAAAGTTTAAATTTCTTTGGAGCAGGTGCTGCATGGTGTTGACTGGAAAATTCACTCTATCTTCCGGAATTTCACAGGGATGGGACTCCCTAGATAGGTCAGAGTTCATGAGAAGCTGCAATAGTGTAATCCAAGCCTCTCAAGGGAGGGCAGGGTCTGTAACGGGCAGGTCCCTTTAACTTGCTTTTCTAATCAGAGTTGATTCAAACCCCTTGACAAAACCACCCACCCACATAACCAATTAGCATCTGTTCTAGACTGTTGTACTTGCTATTCTTCTCACAAATTCTTCTTTTGTGCTTTGCTGGTCCAAGCATCCTTTTTTTTTTTTTTTCCAGAATTTTGCTGTTTATGAGCTAATTATTTTTATTCTATCTGCTGGATCATTCCTACCGCTATGCAAACACACTCTAGTACTGTTCATTGGGGGGGGGGGGGGATTCTAACCTTCCTCAGAGACCATACCTAGATTTCCATATTTCAGTCCCTTCTTGCACACAGCATGGCTTCTTGCTCCCAATCATTCACTTTTTTTTTTTTTTGGAGGGGGGGTTGATTTTTAGAGACAGGGTTTTTCTGTGTAGTCCTGGCTGTCCTGGAACTAGCTCTGTAAACCAGGCTGGCCTCAAATTCAGATATCCACCTGCCTCTGCCTCTGGAGTACTGCGATTAAAAGTATGTGCCATAACCATGGGGCTTACTTTTTTAAAAACATTTTTTGAGACAGGATCTTGCTGTGTAGAAAAGATTGCCCTCCAACTCAGAGCCTGCCTGTCCCAGCCTTCCAAGTGCTGCCAGAAGATGCCTCCAGCCATTTGTCTCTACACTGGGTTGAGAAGAGTCATCAAAATTGTATCTGTTTTAAAAAATATAAAAATAATAGCAAACCATATCTACCATCTGTGAATTTGCCTTTTGTTTCTCTTCGGGGGTAGGGTATTGCTTGTTGTTTTGTTTTAGTCCCGGTAGACCTGAAATTCTCTGTGTAGTTAAAGACAACCTTGAACTCTTTAGGGGTGTGTGTGCATATACATACTTGTCAAGTCCAGAGGGCAACTTCAGAGAGCCAGTTCTCTCCATCCCTCAAGTCATCAGTCCTGGTAGCTCCTTCACCCAACATGCCATCTCAGGGCCCAAGCTCCAGCCTCTACCTCTCAAGTGATCAGATTGCAGGTGTGTGCAACCACACTGGCTCTGGACCTTATTTAAACTCTGCGTTGTTTTTGAGATTGACTGTGTTGATTCTTGATATAAATCTAGTTCACTAACTTTATTACATGCTATGATTGTACAACACAGATTTTATCTTTCTGAGCTGGTTTTTCATAATTTAAGTCATTCTAAGATTCTTTCCTATTTACTTATTGTTATTTTCATGTGGTCATACTTTCTTCATTTTTAATTGACTCAGTCATTGTACATATTTATGGGTACAGTATAATGTTTCCAGTCATATATGTATATATATTTTGTTTAAATGCTTTCATGAATGTCACTTTGTGTTCATCCATCAGATTTCTCTCAGGTGAGTTATACAATGAATGATTTTTGTTGTTTTTCAAGACAACACTGTGTACCTCTGGTGCTGTCCTGGAACTCACTCTGGTCTCCCTGGTCACGAACTCACAGTGATTGGTCTGCTTCTGCCTCCTGAGTGCCAGGATTAAAGGTGTGTGCCAGTATGCCCAGCTATGAATGAGAGAAAAGCCATATCCTGAAGTTTTATTCTAAACTAGTTGTCCCATTAGCGGGAATTTTAGTTTTTCTGTCTTCTCATGGTCAGACTTTTTAATTTTTGTCAACTTGATCTGTATGAAACAGCATTCCATTCTATTTTTATAGTTTTCTGATTATGATTCATCTTGAGGATCTTTTCACACTTTCACTTGTTTTGAGTTCCTCTTTTCTGACTCATTTACACACCCCCATACAACTTATGTCTTGATTTTATCATGTTAGGCCATTTCTGCATGTTCTGACATGGATCTTTCATGCATTATCATGCATACCAAATACAAGCTATGGTCTATGATTTGCCTCTTAACTTTGAGTGGGGTCATTTATTACACAGAAAATTTAATTAGGACTTAGTTAATAATTTTTCTTAATTCAATCTTTTGTGTTCTATGTTCTATATATATGGAAGAGAGCTATACCATCCTGCCATGATCAATGCTTCTTGCCAGCACTGTTGAACTTCTTTAGGAATTTATTTTTGTGAATGTGTGAAGTGAGACTTGTTTCTTTTTTTTTAAGTTTGAGTATGTAGTATATATTATTTTTAATTATATACACAAATATGAGTCTGTGTGGGGATGTGCTCATGTGAGTACATGGGCCCTCAGATGCCAGGGGCATTGGATATCCTGAGAGCTGGAGTTGTAGGTAGTTGTGAGCCACTGACTTGGATGCTGGGAGTTGGACTCAGGTCCTCTGCAAGAGCCCTTAACCACTGAGCCACCTCCCCAGCTCCTCTCTCCCTTGTTCTTCTCAAGCTGTTTTTCAAAACTTTGAAAAAGAATACTTTTTATTAGTCTGTCCAAATCCACAAAAATCTCTGTTGGGTCAGGAGCACTGAATCTGGGGGAAAGTGGTATTATGTATAGCTTTAATTTGGCATAACATCCTTGAGTGATGTTCCATAACTTTATTCATAAAAGTCTATCCACCTTATGATGATTTGATTCAATCTACCCTAGCTGCCATGTGTACCACTGTGTTCTACTATCTCCTATTAACTGACTGGTTATTGCCAGTATATGGGAACAGTTCTGGGTTTCGTATTGTATTTCTATATACAGCAGGTTTTGTAAAGCTTGCAGTTTATCTAGGCATGTAATATTGTTTGCCTGAAACATGGAAGGAAATCTACTTTATTCAGCCTACTGTAATCTGTTACTGTTAATCTCACCCTAAAATCTTCCTACAGATAAATTCAGAATAACGTTTGACTAAATATCTGGATACCTGAGGACCATTCATGCTGACATATATAATTAATCACCAGGGGCTAGTGAGATGTTTCAGTTGGTAAAGGTACTTGTAACAGAAACCTGATAATCTGAGTTCAGTCCCCAGATCCTACAGTTGAAGGACAGAACCAAATCTGAAAGTTGTCCTGTGACATCTACCTGTGCACCATAGGATATGTATGCCTGTACGTACACACACACACACACACACACACACACACACACACACACACAATACAATAATATAACAATAAATAATAAAAACATCACAATCTCTAAAACTATTAATAACTCATTCTCTTATCAAGTATCTGTCCAGCCAAAATATTCTGTCTTAAACTTTCTAACAGTCTGCTTTGAGTCCAGATTCCAGTTAGAGTCCTGCACCAGCTCTGATTAATGTTTGTCTGCCCTTGTAGTTTGTTTTTTGTAGTTTCTGTGCCCTCCAGTTTTGTTAAAACCACATTGTTTTATGCTGGAGATATTCCCATCATTTATGCATTACTTTTACTTTCTTCTTCTTCTTCTAAAACTGTGTTTAATTTTTTTC